ATATATATAATATAGGTTATAATGATGATTCACGACAAATTAATAAATCTACTGATTCAGCTAAATTTATGCTTTATGAAAAGCTAAAAAAGAACAACTTCTCAATTAAGTTACATGGGCGTTGAGCGTGGTGCTTGGGTCGAAACCGACATCCATGAATTGTATGTCAATAGAAACGTGCTTTGATACAAATACTATTCAGTTCAAACGCAAAGTGGCATCGTGTATTTTAAAAGAATAATTTAATGAAAGCGATAGTTTATTGAAATTATTCTGAAAGTAATCTTATTAAGGTCAGTAAGGGTAATTTGAGACAGAGTGTTAAATAAAAATTGTCTAAACAAATGTTGAGAAACATAAACCAGAGCCGAAATCTTAAAGAGATACTTTAAACAACATAGCTTCACTATTAGTTCATAGCAATTCCTCTCGTACCCAGGAATTTAAAACGAAAACTATACTGGTAATAGTCAACAGGTGTAGAAAGGTAGTCAAAAATTGTTTTATCAAATTATTCTACCATACCAAGCTTATCAAATTTCTATTAAATATTTCTACGTGTGGGCAATTCTATTGATGTAGGTTGTTCACCAGACTATTATATAAATCTATAGACTGGAATACGATTGAAAAAACTAACTGAAATATGGAAGATGGTAGCTTTAAAGGGGCAAATCATCAAGACGTATACTTAATGATTACGTCACTTCTCTTGGTGAGGTTTTTTTTTAAATGAACTGGGTGTCGAATTCTCATTCTTTAAATCTTTAAAAATGTAAATCTGTGCTTGAACGTAGTTTGAGGATACTGAATTCGATTCAATTATTTTTTGCCCTTCATGGTCCACAATCTATATCGTAATGCCTTTCCCAAGATATCAAGTTTCCCCTACAGATTAAAATATTGTTAACCATTGTAAATTATGTATACTAAGATCAGAAGAAAGATAGGTTATATAAGTCCATACCTACTGTAACTATGTTTAATTCTATTTCATATAAACAAAACATTACTCTGCATAAATTAATGACCTCTAAAGTCCTCTTATCATATCTTGATAAGCTTTTACAATGACTATTGGAATTTGCTCTCTATGGTCATGTTCAAATATGGCATGGGAACCTGAAACTGGCTCCTCACGTTAGGCCCTCCGATCGATATCTAGTTAAACTTTTAATTTCTGACGTTGCCCTGGCAGTAAATTTGCTCGTACCAATGTCGCATCAACTAAGGGGTAGAGTGAGGGTGGATATCAAATAAAGAGTACAAATCGTAGTTGGACCCGATTTCATACCCTTGAAATATACGAATAGTATTTTAATAGTTTTTAAAAATACCCCGAAAATTTATTCGACAATGAAACCATGAAACAATTGACTTGTTTTAACCTGTTAAAATAATAACAATAGCGATACTGTTCTCTGTGTGCATTTTACAGGTAGGCCCTACATATGTTACAATCAACCAGTAGGTAACTAAAATCAACATTCTTTACAAATTATACCTTTCTGTCAAACTGCTGAAATACTACTGGAATATTCCCAAATACATAGAAATCTACATAGCCAAAATGGTGGTGAACCCTATATGACAACCGAACAGCAGTAATGTATAACCCGTTCGTTACAGCCAGCTCATCTCAAGACTGCACACACCTTTCGCCAATTCATCACAGACTGCAACAGCAACTGTGACAGCCAGTTAATCGTTGATAGTACAAAAAACCAGCCCAACTCTTTCTTAAGTTCATCGCTTATTGTACAACAAACTTTAACCCAAACCTTTCGTCAGTTCATCGCTGATTGTACCCACAGCAATTGCGACACGGCCTTTCGCCTTTTCACTGGTTGTACAACAGCAACTGTGACGGTCAGTTCATCGCTAACTGTCGTGGCAACTGTGACACAGCCTTTCACCACTTCATCGGTAATTTTGTACAACAAACTGTGACCAAACAGTTTCGTCAGTTCATCGCGGATTGTGAGCAAACCGTGACATAGCCATTACTATATGTAGATAAAAACTTGATACAGCTTCGACAGAATTATTAGCAAACTGGCATGGTCCACCTTTTGGTCAGTTCCAAAGACATTCTAGAAACTGTCATGTGGTGCATATTTTTACTCGTTCACAGACAAATGTCTAGAGTGACTCTCTTTATTAACAAATTATCAAGATACCCAGTGTTCAACAATTTGTTGCCACCAAATATACACCGAACTTTCAGGTGGCGCTGCCTTTCTCGTTATCTTATAATACATAAGAATGGGTGTAATTTTTTAAATGGGAAGAATCATACTAGATGTTCTTGAAACTACTGACATTTAAAAATATTTAGATTATGCAAACCTTGAACCTTGATTATATTGGTATCTTTTGGGAAATATAGAAGTACTAGTGACCTATAATGTCTTATTAATTAGGAAGAACATAAAGGTTAAAAGAAAATTGAACAGGGTATAATTATGATACAGATAAACCACATCTTAGATGATGCACATGAATCTTTCTTTTTCCCCATTGGGTAACTGAAGACAGCAACGTCATACAATCTACATTTCGGGGGAGGGATTTGCTAGAACAGTGTCCATGCTCCATAATAACTGGAACAGGTATTGTGACTAATACCTTGAATATATGTTAAAAATTTTATGTTTGGTAAAGAATCTTTGCTTAATGCCTTCATGAACTTAACAATTTCTAGTCAAATTGTTAATTAATGGAGATAATTTACTACACACATCCATTAACCCTGCCTCAAATTGCATCTTCTTATTTCTGTGTTATTATAAAAGTATAAAAAAAACTAATTATATAAATACATATATGATACATGAAGATCGAATTTCAGGATATAATCAGATTATGGATTGTCATAAGATGAACGAATATCTAATTTTCTTTTTAAAAGGTATCTCCCCATTTGATCATTGTCAAAATACAACTTTTACTCTTGACCAGTGTGAAATGATTGTAATAATAATAATAAAATCTTTAATGACAAGGGTGAAATTAGTGGCTATTAAAGAATTATATAGTAGAATTATTTTATACAAAAACACGAATAAGCGACATATTACGCACCATGTGCTCGTTTGGTGAACTAGGTATTTGAAAGGAGTGCCCTTTTAAAAAAATATATGCACATTTAATAAGCTGGAACTGTCAGCACTAAATAAAGACGTGTAGTGATTAGGTAATCTTAATCTTGTATTATTTTGAAATGTTTTAAACCAGGTCATTGATCTAGGAAGCAATGCTGACAATAAATAACGGTAGACAATGAATAATTCATGTTATTCAACTACTAATACTGTAGTCTAAACCAATTGTCCATTATTGTATAAACTATATATGTCGAATATTTCACAGTATTGAACGTATAACAGCTACCTAATAGCAAAAGTTTAAAAAATTTTGTTGCATTTTAACTGTGAAAACAAAATCTTATCGGAATTTTTTATGAGTCAGATAATCCGAAATGTTTATACCATCTGAATTTTGATACACATAAAATATATGCGAAAATTCTAAAAAGCGTGTGAAGAGGAAAAGTTAAGGGGTTGTTATGTTTTTATTCAGGTGGAGCATTTGCGATTCGTTATAATGACTGACGATAGCTTGTTACCCTAAATGCACGTCTGTAATATTATACATTTACATACAAGTTCAAAGTCGTTCTGATCTTTCGGATTATGACAGACGTTGCCATTTCCAATGAAATTAATAGGTATAATGTATATGAATTGAATATACTCAATTAATTTGAAACTTGTATAGTGCGAAACATAAGTATTGATATATATTATTATTATATTCTATTATATAGATCTACATAAAATAACATGTGTCATACACTTATTTCATACATGGTTTATATTTTGTAATATTGTTTAAAGTAGGTTACTGCATACGGCCAATTTAAATATAATTGATGTTCGTGCAGTGTGCAACTACTGCAATTTATTAAATGTTACATGCCAAGCCTTCTTATTATGTTTCTAAACATGTAAGACTTGTTTCAATTTATGCACACAAAAAATCGGCCGTATGAATCATAACATAGCCAAATTAGTGACGGCACAATTTTACTTTGTTTGCTGAAGTGGTTGATTAATCCTAAGGCATACAATGAGGGGCAAAACTAGAGTAATCTCCTCAAAATAAAGTTTAATCCAATACCTCTATATTTCCATTTGCACAAAGTTTTGGAAAAAGTGGGTTTTATTTGGCATTTTTGATATTCGATCGAATTTACGTGACCCAAAAATAAATTGTGCATTAATGTTTGGACAAAGTAAAGTATAGCATAGGTAATATCAGAATATTGGTATAATGTCGATGCCTCAATAAAAGACTTCAAGTCCTATACACCATCTAGTATTGTATCTTTATTATAGTATGTACTGATTGATATGTATCTGTATATTTAATGTATATTAAATTACGTGACACAGTGGGGTGTGGTAGATGTAAAGGAACTTCTGTTACATATTTTGTAAGATGGGTTGGAGTCGGTTCGTACCAACGGCATATCATTAGATCGACAAGGTAATGAAATGTCCTAAACATCTGGAAGCCGTGGATAGCATATATAATTAATTCAAAAATAATCTGTTGAAACAGTCTGTTTCTTTTTAAGACACAGTTGAAAAGTATGGAATTTCAAGGAATTTCAGTTTAAAATTTTGTTTATAAATCTGGCAATCTGCCATTTAATTCAAAACTTTGTAATCTCCTACTTGTATTTGATCATTATTGGGCACCATTCCAAATGAAATATAATACATTTAACGTTTTTAAAAATGCGTATACTTTGTATACAATCGAGGGGGCATTATGATAATATTAGTACTTCAAAATTTCAATTCATCTTTTTTTTAATGTGAACTATGACTTGTGTGCTTAATGCAAATGATATTTATGATTTTTCTATCGAGCTAGGTTTAAAATGTCGACATGCTTGTTATGTTGTTTTGAGAAAGATAAAATGTACTCACCAGATCGTATACAATCAGCTAAAGTGCCTCCTAAAGTTGTCTTCTTATCTTTTAATTTATCAAAAACTTCTTTACTTAAATGCTTCTTGAGAAGAGACTTGCAGTCTTCAGCTTTCGAGAGCTTTTCAAACATAGTTTCCATTTCTTCTGCCATTTTTAAATCTCAGTGTGTTAAGAGAGAAGAGCGATACGTTCTGTGCAGACGACGTAATCCAAATAGTAGGCTAAGTAAAATAGACACACGTTTTGCACGCTTAAATAACTCGTGCTGTAATGATACCAAAATTATCAAAACAGAATATACTCGTTCTAATCTAAAAGAAAACGCACAGACGTGATTTTTGGTAAATTAAAATAATTGAACTTCAATAACCTAAAAATAGCTTTTTTGCACCGTATTCACACTGAAAGTTGAATATTTGAAATAGTGACACCAGTAATGCGCTCTCTAATATTTGCTCGTTCAAGTCTAAAGGCAGACTATTGCCAACTGCATCGATTGAAACCGTTTACATAGTTTTGATAGAGGCGCGCGCGCAAGTCTTAAATCCCCAGTACCGTGGTGATAGAATAAAACTCCGCCTTGCTCTTGTCTTCAGTTAGCAACAAAATACATGATTATATTAATCCGGAGTTAATCCTATTAAGTTCTGCTTTATGTAAATATCAGCTTAACAAGTATTCAGGTATATTAATAATATGATCATTTTACTAACGACATGAAACCTGTTAATATGTATAGGGAGACATTAGTACAAAATAGACAGATTTGACACTGGTAAAATTTTCAGACGCTGAAAGTTTGACTGTAACTAGCATAAATAATCATAATATTACAATATAATATTAGTCTTTTTTTGTGGGGAATGATGTAGTTACATGAAAGTTTGATCGAAACACTTTGAAGTCTACTCTGAAAATGTTTTGTACGTTGTGCGCAGTGCAAGAGTCCTATTTATTTAAGTGAATGTATAATAGAAAATAAAAAATAAAAAAAAAGTTGAAGTCGGAATATTCACATGGTATTAAAAAATGATGAATTCAATAAACATGGACTTTCAATTCAAACTGTTATCTGTATTGTACTGCTCAAAATTCCCCAATAAAATTATTAGCATTTTATAGGCTATAACGTTTTTGAAAACTTTTGGTAAAGAGTAAAGATAGCCAAACCATAGGCGTACGGACCGAAGGAATGTTAGAGGGCATGTTGGTTTGCCCTGTCTCCTACGTCTTGCAAAATATTTTCATTCATGGCAGTAAATCCATTACGAACTGGCAGGGGATCATACCAACATACATGTATGTATAAGGAGTCAGAGTTTATCCTAGCTGCTTGAAAAGCCGATTTATTCAAGTGAAATAATCCAAACGCCTTGCGTCGAAATTATAACTTCTACAAACTCAATTGAAATCTCATAAAGAATCTGTGAAAATATAATAGGTTCCATTTTACTGGATAAATACCATTATGCATGGAAATTCTAGCCTCTACCAAGAAGGTTTCATATACTCAAATATTCACAGGCTAATGGTCAAAATGAATATGACATAGTCGCAAGCAAGCTGAATTGACGGAAATATCAATGTATAGACTCTAGGGAGAAATCGAAACTCGCTGTTCCCGAAATTTTCTTCTATCCCCAACTACGTTGAATGTTAAACCCACCTCATTCCTTTACCAATGTTTATAATGTAGTCCCTAGAATAAATACCAACAGTTTCCTCATCATATATGTCCGCAACCAATCAAAAAATTATGAACTGTTTGATTCTCACTTCCAATACGAGATGCAGACATTGCCAAGGACGTCAAAACTCATTAACAAAGCTCAAATAGAGTGTCAAATAGAGTGGACCAGCAAAAATGGTGTTAAAAGGAATGTAAAGAGGTTTTCTAATTTTTTTTTTAAAGCATTAAAGCATATCGGGGTTACTGATAGCATCAGTTTCCACATTCCAATTTCCAATCAGACGTTTGTGGTTCCTGCAATTCCTCTAAAACCATTTTTTTCGATGACGCCATTCATCACAAAATATGCTTTATCACATAAGGCCCTTCACAATTAGTGATGTCACAAAACAGAAACCACAGACGTCTAATTGAAAATTAGAATGGTGCAAATTGATGCTATCAGTGTCCCCATACACATAAGAAATTCAGAAAACCTCTTTACACTCCCTTTAAGACATGGTTGTTGTATTCAACAGAGTTTGGGAATTTGAAAAATGTATTGATTAGTCTACAGAAAATAACTAAAACAAAATATTAAACCTTTATTCAGTTTAATTTATGTTATCTAGTCATTGATATAATTAATTCACAGTGTTTTGTATGGGGAAATAAATCAACAGCTACTGATGTTTGAGGTGAAAATGGTTCTCCTAAATTTCCTTTTGTATCGTCCATCATTAGCCTGAAAAACATGAAAAGATATTAAATGACATTACGGTGTTCGTCTACAATTCAATTAGATAAAATCGCATTTGATCCTAACCTTACTGAGGAAACTTTACAAACAAGGGAAGTAACTACATTAAATACAATATACTTACTGAACTAGGTTCTGTATTATAACACCAGAAGGTTTACATGCAATAAATATAATATACTTACTGAACTAGGTTCTGTATTATAACACCAGAAGGTTTACATGCAATAAATATAATATACTTACTGAACTAGGTTCTGTATTATAACACCAGAAGGTTTACATGTAATAAATATAATATACTTACTGAACTAGGTTCTGTATAATAACACCAGAAGGTTTACATGTAATAAATAGAATATACTTACTGAACTAGGTACTGTATTATAACACCAGATGGTTTACATGTTATAGATATAATATACTTACTGAACTAGGTACTGTATTATAACACCAGATGGTTTACATGTAATAAATATAATATAATTACTGAACTAGGTTCTGTATTATAACACCAGAAGGTTTACATGTAATAAATATAATATACTTACTGAACTAGGCTCTGTATAATAACACCAGAAGGTTTACATGTTATAGATATAATATACTTACTGAACTAGGTACTGTATTATAACATCAGAAGGTTTACATGTAATAAATATAATATACTTACTGAACTAGGTTCTGTATTATAACATCAGCAGGTTTACATGTAATAAATATAATATACTTACTGAACTAGGTACTGTATTATAACACCAGAAGGTTTACATGTAATGAATATAATATACTTACTGAACTAGGTTCTGTATTATAACACCAGATGGTTTACATGTAATAAATATAATATACTTACTGAACTAGGTTCTGTATTATAACACCAGATGGTTTACAAGTAATAAATATAATATACTTACTGAACTAGGTTCTGTATTATAACACCAGATGGTTTACATGTTATAGATATAATATACTTACTGAACTAGGTTCTGTATTATAACACCAGAAGGTTTACATGTAATAAATATAATATACTTACTGAACTAGGTTCTGTATTATAACACCAGATGGTTTACAAGTAATAAATATAATATACTTACTGAACTAGGTTCTGTATTATAACACCAGAAGGTTTACATGTAATAAATATAATATACTTACTGAACTAGGTTCTGTATTATAACACCAGATGGTTTACATGTTATAAATATAATATACTTACTGAACTAGGTTCTGTATTATAACACCAGATGGTTTACAAGTTACGAATATAAAATGGTTTATTGCCGATATTCTTCTCAATCTTCTAATAAATTTTGATTCTACAAAACATACAAACAGCTTCTTTTATGAATCAAACTTGCACTTGTTATGATCATAGAAATGTTGATGTGTTTAAGAATAAAAACTAAAAAAACTAATTGCCATCTAATTCTTGTGATCTTCTGGCTATATAAGGTTTATCCTACACAATAATATTCATTAAAGAAAGTTGATTACAGAATGCCCTGATTGCTTCTTAAACTAAGCAAAGGCATGATTACACTTGTAGCTTGGTAATACAAATCAGTGGAACCATCAACATTTTGCAAAATGCTAAAGATAACGCTATTCCAGAATACATATCATACAACAGATGTACATAGATAGTATATTGATACCACTATGCATGAGAATCACAAACAATGCAATTAAAGGTTGCCACTTATTGTATCAGAATTAAAAGATCATTAACTCACTAAAGCCAAGTCTACCAGGATTTAGTACAACTACTAAATTATCAGCCTTTAATACTGGAGAGTCCTCTAAAATAAGTTGGTTTAATACATCTTCTGCAGTACCACAGACAAATTTTATATTCTTCACATCTATAACCATAAAGATATTAAAAGTGTCATTCTATCAAAGGTTTTAAAAATTGCATTAATGTGATGGATTAATAAAACTGTATTTAAAATAGATTTAGTAATAAACCAATCAGGAGACTAAGATCTTATATTCAGTATTTTAAAACACCATGTGAAATAAAGGAAATAGAAAAGCAGTATTTTTGGAGAGCCATTATTTGTATATTCAATTTTCTAAGATGCTTTTCAAGTTATGAGCTAAAATCACTACCGTTTAAGAGGGCATTTTCTTTAGCACACTCTATAGCTTCTTTACTAACTTCAATACCACAAACTTGATCTACATAATTTGATAATAATATTCCTATAGTTCCTATAATAAATATATTAAGGTCTGTATTAACATAAAATTGTCTTAATATCTGCTTTATAATATATCAAAAATACATAATCAAATTCTCAATCTACTTGTAGTTAAACTTGAACACAGGAGCAATTAGAAGATATACTAATTTTCTAAAGCAAATCTAGTTCTTTTACAATAAAAAGTCTACCATGAAAATTAGGCTACAAGGTAATAGTGAGTGATATCCGTTGTTTTTTGTTGAAGGAGAACAGGACGCCAGATTCTATTCCTGAAAAGTGTTAAAAATTGCTAAAATTGAGCTTTATCAGCTCTTTAAGCAAATTTTAAGACACCTATATCCCTTTTCTCTCAAAAACAAGACTAACCTGTTCCACAACACATATCTAGTAGATGAGTTGTACCAGAATTAATATTGATCAAATCACTAATATTATTATATAAGACCTCAGCACAATGGGTATTAACTTGAAAAAAGGAATAGGGAGTTATTCTAAACTCTTTATCATTGAGTTTCTCTGTTATATATTTCTGTCCACTTAGATGTAGAAGCTGGGAATTGGCATGTCGTGGTATACGTGAAGAACTGAAATGTTCAAGAAGGCAGTATTAGCCATTGATCAGATTCTCAATTTATCAGCTCAGTTGGTAAATCAGATATCTACATCCTTTTCAGATCTGAAGGTGAATTTGGAGGGTGAATTTGGAAGGTCAATTTTATTTGGAGGGTGAATTTGGATGGAAAATTTGGAAGGTGATTTAATCGTCAATCTCATTGGAGGGTCAGAATTTGTGTAATGTAATATACATGATAATTGTTCAGCCAAAATAATGCCTAAAATCTTTAATCTAAGAAATTCAATTATGGCTGTTTGAAATTTTAAATCAAATCAAATTGCTGATAAGCAGAAGTTTTATGAAAAAAATACATACTATGATATTATGTCTAGTATAACATACCATAATTCCATATACAGAGAGTGAATGTTAGCTTGGGCTCCATTTCCATCAGTAAAATACTCTATATAACTTTTCTTAGCCATTTCTAAATCTTCCTAATTTGAATAGTGAAAGGCACAAATATTAGTATGCAAAATTCAATCTAAATTCTAATTTTCATCCTTTTTTTAGATCAAAAAGTGGACCACATGGCCAAGTGATTTTCTAATGAATCTTTTAGTATAATAATGTTACAGTAATTCAATAACATTTTATTAATGCAGTCAGATGTTCTGTGATGCCTTTCACAGAGTGCAGACTTGCTCTTATGTTTCAAATATTTTTGTAAAATCTAGAAACTTCTCTCTTCTCCCTCTAATTGATGCAAAGTAAAGAATCCCTCAACCCTAAAACTTTGAACTGCTAAAAGAGTACCTGTGAAAGAAGATATGGATTAACTGTTAATGTTAACATGGTTTCACCGGTAGTAGTAGTTCTTACTGAACCTGATCTCCATAATCCATTATATTCCTCAGCTGGTAGAGGTGGTCTCTTAATAAACTCTTCTAATAACTGGAAATCAAAAATAATACCTTATTAGTATTATTAGTATACATGACCAAATTACATAATAACATAAAAATTTCACAGTAGTACATCTTATTGGATAAAAAAATTGTTACAAAAATGTCCAGTTATGTTTTCATAAACCATGTCCTTCTTTGTTTGACCATAATATAGTGACTATATACCAAGCATGGTTGATACAATGAATTGATAGAAACTGATGAATCAAGGTCATGAAGGATACATCTTGTTATTCTTATAGAGAAATAAAATACAGATTTATTATGTCAAAAGTAAAGTTTGTCACATGATAAAGTTATATAATATATTCTACCTACTCACCTGATTGATATATTTATGATGATCTGATATAATACATAATTTATCTGCTTTAACATGGATTTGATCATCTGTTAAAAACAAATTACATATTTCTTTTAACATAACTACATCTATATTACTCAACATTACTCTACAAGAAAGGTGATCTATTTCTTAACTATCTGCAGCATAGAGATTTTTTCCAGTCAATTTCTAATAATACATATTTTATAAATACCCCCTAACACAATGATCCACATCATATTATCATATTATCAGATTCCCAATCAAATAATAAAGTCACATAGAGATTATTCTACTGACTAGTGGTCAGCCATGTACAACACAATAATCTCATCAAAGATATTTGTACACATCAAGACACATGGGCTGCAGTTTACTTTATTTTGAGTAATTGAAAGGATATTAGCTGTTACTGTATGGTAACCATTACTACTTAAACTACCTAACATTATTGTGGACTGCTTCCCTGCACAAATATATTTGCCTGTCAATAACTAGCCATTTGAAACCTGATTTTGAACTGGTAATGGTATAGCATATAATATTTGAAAGCCAATGTACTATACATACCATTTTGTTTCTGTAATGGATACCCTGCTATAATATTTTTGTTGACATCGAAACCAATCAGTATAGCATGTTTATTACGATATCCTTCTGTTACAGGCTGTAAATATAAGTTCCATATTCTAAAGGGACAGATTTGACATCCGTTCGACCAATCGTACATTAGTCTAAGAAACAGTTTTTTTTTAGCTAAGCTAATCAGTGTTCATAGCTCTTCCTCAAACTTTGAGCCTTTCAATCCATGTATGTCCAGATTTATCATCCTTTGAAAGCTAAAATGACGACTTGTCTTTTCTTGAGGTTATGCCATAGTTCATGTTATTTTTGATCGAATTATGGTATTTTCTGTACTATTTACAAATATTTAAGACCTGAGGCAAACCCTGAAAATGGCAAACCGTTGCCTTTAAAAGGGTAATAAAATAACAGATGGTAAAAAATTTTGTTAGATGACTTTTTCCTTTAGGTCTGGTAATTAATAGATAATAAAATTAGAAATAAGATTTTCTACTCACTGAAGGTTTTACTTCTTGAAATTCACATATTTGACCACTATTTAACTCTGCTTGGTTATCTAAAAATTCTGTCGAACTTTTCCTGTTGTGTTTTATTATATTGTAAATCTTCTTTAAAACTCTCCTCATTACTTTTTCCTTTTTCTATAATATTGAAAATTATCATTATCATTTATATTTCTATATCATGGAATAATTAGAAAGTGAAAGTATACAATTGTTAAACACAACATAAGATGACTGTTTCACGGGACAGATAACCTGGTTGTAATAAAAGTAGTAATGTAGACTACTTAAGACTATCTTCAAATCTGTGGACATGGTCATTATATTATTGGTTAAATATAAACATAAGTTTACAAATCTTTATATATCACTTTAAACTTTAAACAGAATTTGGGAAACATTTCATTACAGCAGCTAATGACAAAATAGCCTATAATCTGCCTACAAAGTACATTTTACATCACTTATTCATGGACAAGCTTTTTATTTCCATTAACTACAACAGAAGTTGTACTTAAAAGTATGGTACTAAAGAACTTACTACCAGTTGTTCATTATATGGTACTTTATGTAAAGGTGTAACAGTCCTAGCCAGTCTGTAATAAACAAAATATATTAGAATGAACTATGGGCTTGTTATATGTCTTGTACATAGTTCTGTATGCACCACATAAAATCAAATAAACAAATCAGAATCATTTCAATCCTTAAAAATATTAATTTTAAATATTAAATGTAAAAGCTAATTGTTATATTTTGTATGCACCAACTTACAATGTAATAAATATATTTATCTGTACAGTAATTGAAATATTATATCAATATCAAACAAGTCTAAAGTAGGGCTAGGTAAAATGATCAAAATAATCGATTATCGTCGCTAGGAATTCATAATTTTGATTATCGATTATCAAATTTCATAACTGATTATAGGTCAAAGTTACATTTTCTCCACTATACCTGTTAACAAGTAGTAATCTCTTCCACATTTCACTTAATGCATAACTTATCCACAATAAACTATAATAACTGATCAAGCCAAGAATATACTTCTATGAAGCAAATAAAACCCATGAAATTGTAAGGATTTTGTCTCGTTTTTAATTTAGTAATTATAGGGTTTCTCAATTGAATTAATTCGATTATTTATCGATTATTGATCGATAGCCTGCCATCAATAATTGATATCAATTTGGTAATCGATACCCAGTCCTAGTCTTAAGCTTTGTCATCAAATCATATTTTGTATGTGCCGTTTTCATCACTGTTGTATGTAGTGTGAATATGTTCTAACTGCCATCTATAAGTTCCTAAGATAAAGTTTAAAGTTGGTTCAGGGTAATTAATTTACTATCAATTAGTCAATTTTGAAATAAATTTAAGATAATTAAAAGTAAACAATATTAAGGCTTAAAGCTCTATTGAATTATGTAAAAAATAATTAAAAATGAATAAAAATGTATTGAAATTAAATAGATGCAATAGAATACCTACATATCATATTGATTATTTTCTGTTACAATGTTAGACCACTTATTACATGTATAATGAAATACTCTTAACTGGTGTAAATATCTGAAATGTCAATAATAAAAGATTATTTATATTAAAGAAACTATCTTCAAAGCAGTTAGGTACCGTATCTCAGTAAATTGCAAGACAATTGTTGTCCACAAGCTAAGACAATAATAAAATTCAACTGTCTGCAATCATTGGTTATGTGACCACATCTTACAAATGGGAACAGGGCTTCATATAACCTTCAGAGAATAAATTTAGCTATTTTGTCACAATAAAAAAACAAATTTCACACATTTTTCCACCATGAAAATTTTTCTTTTGACTTACAAAGTACTTTATGTAGTTCCCGAGTTTGAATTGAAATTTCTAGACTGTCCTCGTTTAGAATGATATGGTAATTTAATTATTTTCTTTACTAGCTCACATCATACTCTTGCTATCCATATCACTTTTCAAATAAGAACTAAGAAGTGCACATTTCAATTGTCTTCAATCAATTCAAACCAGAACAAAAGTCATTTTCCATATCATGACATCACTTGCTGTGACTACTTTTGACACTTTTTTCACCAAATTAAAGTATCTTGATTGTAAAATAATAACAGTAGCTGGAATAATATATTGTATAATTCAGAGATCAGGTAATATCTAGAGATGATTAAACTACTACCTTTTCAAACTAATTGTCTTCAATAAACAATTTAATACTGGAGAATACTGAATCACCATGACGATAATAACACAGATATATCTGAAAACATTAAAAGTAATCACGTATTGGCATAGCTGAAAAAATCTCTGTCTCAGCTACATGTTTCACATTTCAGAGTCTGGTCCTATTGAACTTTAATGGAAATTAAATATAGTGTCAGAAAACAGCTAAATATTATTTACATTTTATATGTTACAGTATGGCAACATATGGACATGAGGATTCATTTTGTCAAAAAATTTCTTTTATGTTCAAAATGTTTCTTTGGATACAGTATTCAATACATAAACAAAGTTGTTTTGTTTCTTTTAGATTCATTGATTCCTTGCTTTGACTAACATTTCATGAGTAGACAACTCAGCAATGGCTGCCGACTACCTCATGTATATTTGTGGAAAATGTTTGATCTATCAACATAATTTTCGTTTTGTAAGTATAGTGTGACTCTGCGACCTTTGAACTTTTAGCTGCGTATGCAGTTTTAAATGGATGGATTCGTTAAAGAAAACTTAAATGACGCGTTTACACTGCACTGATATTTAGCCGTGGCGTACTCGGTCCGTATCAAGACCACATCTTCTTCCAGGATTCAGCCTTCTTGAATCTCACTTGGTGCCGAGCCCTCTAAACCTGTTTACACTGTCATTTTTTCTTGAGCAGCCGGGCCAAGTACAGTTCACTTCAAGCAGGCCAATTTTTATGGTTGTATAAACACGGCTTATGACTAAACTACAAAATTATTCATCTTTTCAGATATATCTGGGTTTTGCAGATCTAAATAGGGTTAAGACCTCTGCAGCTCCAGAGATGTGGAAAGTCCTCATTTAACAGGGCCTATTTTTTCTGTCTCTACAACAGCTAACATTTGTCCAAATAGCTATCAGGGGCTGGAATCAAGTCAGATGTTTTGCTCTATATCTTACGGAAGCGTATTAGGGCCATTCATTTTTTTTTTTTTTAATTTTCAAGTTAGTATGTTGAATTTTCAAGCTAGTATGTTGAATTTTCAAGTTAGTATGTTGGTGATCAAATCAGAATTCATTTCTCATAATCAAATATTGGCTAACAGTAAAAGTGGAGCCTGGGAAATTTAAATTTCTCAAAAGGTAAGGCACACCTTCCTTTACATTTTAGCATGCAGTTTGATGTATTACACGCTTCAACCACAAAAAACAATTTGTAGAAGCAGAATGCCCCTTTAAAGTAAAATCTGTCTCTATTCTAGCCTCTGATAGCTATTTGGAGAGATATGTCTGTCCAGTTTAAAGGCAGAAAAACTAGACACTGTAAAAGCCAAAAGGGTATTTCTTTTTGCATCTCAGATCTGCAAAACCAAAATATATTTGGAAAGATGAAAAAGGTTGGGTTGTTACAGAATAAATTATTGTCTCCCTTTAAGAGAACTATTTTTTTAATATGACAAAATTCGGCAAATAGTGTCACTGAGTGATATTTTGTCACCGAGTTAACCAACAAATATTTGTCGCTGAGTTGACATGTCACTGAATATGTATTGTTATTGCTTGTTACAGAACAAATTATTGTCTCCCTTTAAGAGAACTCTTTTTTTTATTATGACAAAATCTGTCACCGAGTTGACTCCGCAAAAAGTGTCGCCGAGTGATATTTTGTCACCGAGTTAACCAACAAAAATTTGTCTCAAGTTGACACGTCACCAAGTTAACCGAATACCCCATTTACGTGGCGTCTCCGGTTCCACAAAAGTTTTTCCATAAGGTCACAGAGTCATGTGATATGAAGATAGAAGTGTTGATGCCAAACACTAATTTACTGTCATCGTAAAGTAAAGAAAGATATTTCGGACTAAGTCTTCTTTTTGCAAAGATAAAATATAATATTTTTCCAGATTTTATGTTTTCATACATATTATTAAATACTAAAACTGGATGCATCAAACTTACTCTCAAAAAACTTAGCTGTTATTCTAAAGTTCAGATAATACAACACAACATTGAACATTTCATGGGCGCAGACATCTTGAATCCAAGGTAGATAACTCCAATATTCAATATGTGATTTGTTACAATATTGACCTTAAAGTGAGAAAAAAATTCGTGGAAATAAAAAGAAATCAACAGAAATGATATAAACATGAAAAATGAAAAAAAATATAATGTCATCAAATCTTCATTTTATGAAAAAAACAAAATAAAAATATTGTCTCAAAAGGCAAGTTAATCAAGTCTATTTACACATACGGTTGTCGTAAAACATTTGAATTTTTTAACAAAATAATGAAAATATTTGATTTTGATTTCATGCAATGATTTCTACAGTTTTCAACCTTTTTGATATTGAAGAATTCAATCAATTCAATTGGTTACACATCATATTTTTTATTTTCAAACATTTAACTATCACGACAATATACTACCGGCATTTATTTGCTGAAAATAAAATTACTGAGAGTTAATTTTTCATTTTTTATCACATAAAAGCTGAGATTCTGAGAATTGAGCTGTTTTATGCTTTGCACTGACATGGCATAAGACATGTCTGATTTGAAAGGTAATATTAGATCAGAATTGCTAAGAAAGTTATTAATATCCCTTTGTTTATTCTTTCTACGACTTCAGTCTTCATTGAACTCACGTCATGCATTGCCATTAGGACAATGATGTTTAAAATATTGTTTCCTTGTTATTACCAATAACACTGACCAGAAGAAGCTGTGCTATATTGTTATTTAATACCACCTTTAAATACACAGATACATAGATGTTTCATCTTCATATTAACAACCATTGCTGAGTGCTTACAAAATAACACCTGCTACAATAATACAGGTGTACAATATGAGTATTTCATGTACTATAGACAGTGAATAGCTTTTAAAAAATCAGGATATTTCAATGACAACTTAACCCAAAGCATTATTCTACTCAGTGTAGGCAACAAGGTGTACGGGTAATGTTATTGTTAGGTAGACATATCGATGATGTAGAAACTTACCATATAAAGAAAATGATTTTCAGGATCAGGTATGAATGGAGAAAACTGTAAGAAAGACTGTCAATTAGAGGTAAAAAAGGAACCAGAATGCCGTAAGACCAAAGATGGAACAGAAACTAATGTCAATCCCACATCATCAAATAAAGATGTCTCTTCTACTGCTGCAGTCAATACAACAGTTAAAACAGAACCAATGTATGTATTGCATGATTGATAGTAAATGATAAAAGGGGGAATTATGATGTTTCGAAACAACAAGAATCCTGTTACAATTTATTTTGTCTATTAGTAGTACACAAAGATATAAGCTTATAGGTACTGTTAACATTGGAATAGCATTGTTTCTGTTAATGTCAATAGAAGTTCGAACTTTGATCGCAGAAACAAATTTCACTCCAACAATCAGTTTTAACTACATTTATTGACTATGTTGTAAATATGCAATGGAAATATTTGTGTGGTAATGCTTACCTAAGATTTTGTTCACTGATTCAGCATGGTCACTAAAGAAGTTAATCTTAATCTAAATGAAGATCTACAGTCAAAGGCAGTTGATCTCATAAGATTCAATATCAGATTATGCTCTTTATACATATACTGTAGAAAAGAAATGAATTCCCGCAGTGCCAAAGTATTTTTCATGTATTAACGTCATTAAAATTTGCTTTTCAGAGATAATGTAGAATCAGGAAGTAAAAATGATTCTACAGCAGCCAATGATGAGAAAAAAAATCAATCAAAAACGAATGCTGATAGTGACAAAATCTTGAACAGTGAGGATCA